AGAATTTTCGGGACCCATGCTCTTTTCATACTGGATGGAAATATATGCAAGGCACACATCCTCAACGCAAGACACCTTTTTCGGGACGAGAAATAGAATATCTTTGCCTAGGGTGATCGTTGGGCTGTAAAAGCTCCTGATTTATGCTCGTCTCAGCCCAAGCTACGGAACTGCTATTCCAGTTCAAAACCCATGTTAAAAAGTGAACTATTTCCTTTAATGAAATACGATATTGAAGTAGACGGTGAAGTAGCCTCTTGGAATCATTTAGAAACACTCTACGCACTGGAATGCGCTTCTTCCCCACGGGCTGCTCCAAAACTAAGCCAGAAACACATCAGGCCAAACAGCTTTGAAAAATGAAAGTCAGCTATGCCCTACAGGTGATGAGCCGGACAGTAGCAGCAGTAATCACATTGCATGCGACCCACGGCAAGCTCCCGCGCACTGCACTCCCGACTGCTACTCTCCTGCTGCGCCTCAACGACCTGCTCGATGTGCTAAACTCTTCCGCCCGGTTCGACTCCTGCTCAAAGCGACGCGCGATATCCAGCCTCCATCCAGCAACGGCGGGGAACACATGCAGTTTCTTCAGGAGAGCGACGCCTGGCTGCAGCGGTGGACGGTCGGTGGCGGCGCCAGCATCGACTCCATTCGAGGACTGCGACAGCCGACAAACGATAAAAGGCGTGGTGAAAATCTAGGACTTGTGTCAGGCTGCTGGGTGCACGTTCCTGTGCACTCGCCGCTTAAACCAAGATCCAAGCTACTGAAAATGAAAGAGTTTATCTCGGCAAAAATATATATATGGCACATATTAGGCCTGTGTACCTACTTATAATGAAGAAACATTATGACAACGTTTGAAACGTTTAACACAACCCCTCTTCTAAATGCATTTATGAAACGTGAGTGGGCCAATAAAGGCAACTAGTTTTAACTGTAACAAAAAAGCACTTCTGGGCACGTAAATGGGGTAAATGTGGTAAAATTCACCACCCCATATCGCCTCTACCGGACACCCGTTTTAACCCCCAAAGGACATTGGCAATAGAGCAGAATCGTTCATGTTTATCAAAACAGCCGGCAACTTTCTATCGAAGCGAAAGGTTGGCTAGGACGAGAGTCATTGCTTTCACTGACTATAACAAACCTACTCGAACGGATTTTCACCTAGGAAGTTACCAAACGAATGTTGAAAAATACATCAGCACCATGAAAAAACCTTACCCACCATCCTCAGCAACGCCGCCTCCCGCCGGCGTCCACCGGAAAAGGGCGGCAAACGAGCGAAGTTTAAATTATCAGAAGTGATTCCAGACAGCAACACCTGATTAGAATAAAATGCACCTTCTCATATTGCCCCGGTACCCCGTTATGCCCCACCTTCCCCTATTAGTTATAGGTCTGGCAACTATACTTTCATCCTCGTAAAGGAAGTAACCACAGCGAATCCGCACGACTAAATCATCAGGTCGCCAAAAACTCGGCAGTTACAGGAAATCTCGATGTTGTCCATTCCATGTCGTAGACTATATATTCCGTGCAATAACTAAAGCAAATCGAATGTACAGGGTGTCCCAAAAGTAAGGTCATCATTTGTTTTGGCCACACCGCCAAAAATACGCGATGGATAGAAATAAATAGCACATCATATGAAAGAGCATTTTATAAAATTTTATTCTGACATACAAATGAGTCAATACATTGGCTCGTAGCCCCACATTTGCTGCTTTTCTGCATGGCTACCATTTCGGGCCGCGTGCACGAATAGACTGCGTTTTACTTCCTCCACTATTCTGGAGCGATTCTCTGGTGAGATGCCGCTTATGTTTGCTCGGAGGGATCATCCTTTAGTTCTTCCCGGCTCGTTGGGTTGTCCTAAAAGACAACCTTTCCGTTGTGTATACCCAGAGAATAAAAATATGGTGTAACGTCAGGTGACCGCGGAGGCCATTCAATGGCGTTGCCCTGACTGAAAATTATGCGATCTCACATCCACTCTCGGAGACAATGCATGATCTTCAGGACGGTGCAAGCATAGTCTCCATCCTGCTGAAACCACTGCTGGTTGATGGTGTCGGCATAGCTGCGTTGCGACGAGCGGAAGAACCACTGGGAGGACTCTCGGCCACCTCTCTTGATTTATTTTCACCCGATTCCCGCTGTCGTCCTCAGGACCTCGAAGCACAGGTGGCTAAGTATACATGCCCTGTGCGTACATTATACCTTTTTTTCTGACGTTTTACCGGTTGAGGCGAAACTATACATGAGTTCAGAGATAGGGCGAGCTGATAGGGTCTGCTTAGGGCCGAAAACTGGGCGGTATTTACCCTTTGTTTTAATGACGGACCCTCTCTAAGAGTTGAATTTCGACCTTCTCAGTTTTAAGCCTACTGCTCGGTGTAGTTATGATCAAAAATGGTTTAAGCATGCAAGAAAATAATTTTATGGATGTACCTTGCACGTGTTAAAATTGGAAGTGATTCGGACCCTTACTTCTCGAGATATTTAAGTTTTAAATCATGACCTTACTTTTGGGACACCCTGTATAATAAAAAGGCATACCTCGAACACAGTTTTATTCACACCCGCTCGTGTGCATACTTGTTTTGACCTATACCTTCTCGCATCATAATATCACTTCAGTGCTTAACCCTCAACGGAGTTTTGGGTTTTCTGCATATACCCTGGCCGAGGGGGGGGGGGGATTGCGACCCCTCCCCTCTCCGTCTTTTTGCCCCTAATTGAGCTAGTACCTTGCGGATAAAACTGAGCGCGTGCGTCGTATGACATGCACTGGTACCCGAGTTGAATGTCTCAGGTCAACCGATAAACTCTGAGGTCAGTATAAGTGCTCCAAGTCGCGGGATCGGTTTTTGGTAAACAACTTCACCACTTAAGTGGTAACAGAGCCAATATAATGGCACCATCGATTTTGCATGCTCAACTGCTCAAGCGCGTCGAATATTTTACGCTTTGTTTTCGTTGAGGTCAATTTAAGGTGTTCACATCAGGTCATGGTCAGGGCAGAGCCACTCAGGCCACGAAGCTGGCCCAAGGAGGTCATATAGCTTCTTCGATTCGGTAGGTCCTCACAAGTCCACTGGTGGCTTCCCGACTCGCTAGCTCAATTAGATCGGGACTTTTGGGTGAAAACTCCTGTGACCTTAGTGACGTCATAAATGAAGTCGCCTTACTTTAAGAATGGATAAGTGAATGCTGGGGCTTGCAAAGATTGCATAGAATCGCGAATTAATGCGCTTGAGATAGCTTTAGATGGCTCCTGGCGCCAAAATAACAGCTTTCATATTTCCCAATTGATTAATAATCGTGAGGATGCGTGACCGACCTGACTTCAGGTGACTCTTAAGAAAAATACGAGATAGCTACATACAGGTTGTGAGGCCTCTGTGAAATAGTACTAGATCATGTAAGCTTCATTCCCCGTTGAAAAGTCCCCTGGCACGAAAGGTGCTGCGACGTCGCGACATTTTGGGACATTACAGAGGTTCACTTTTGACGTCATTGGTCAACGGCCTGACCTTAACCTTCGCACTTGTAGGAGGGTGTCGAACAGATCTCCTACCCTCAGTTTTTCGCAAATAACTCGCGCAAAAAGCGGCTGATTGCGACGAAACTTTCAGTACCCTCGAGTTAATCAATATTACGCCTACCCTGTAATTTATATGACCCTGACTCAAAAGACCTTTGACTTGTGACCTGTTTTCCGAAACCATGTTTAGCCGGAATCGCATTTTGGCGTATTTCGAGTAGAGCGCGTTTTATTGTCTTTTTGTGGCTTTAAGCGATCAAACATGTGAAAGGATGTTGATCCCATGGATTCTAGTGGGTATCAAGGTCACGTGAAGGTCAGTCAGGTCACTGACCTTTGATGACCTTTGTTCACTCTTTCGAGTTCTACATGTTTCTAGGGTAGATTTTGGAGTTCATTTCGCATTTAGAAACCGCTTGAACATTTAAGAAGAAGTTTTGGTTCCCTCGTAACATGTGACCTGACCTGACCTGACCCGACCTGGCCTAAATGCACGAAAACATCATCTGTGATCAAAACTAACTTGAAATTCGTGATCAGCACCCCGCAAAACCCTATAACAGCTTCACTTTACGAAGCTCTAACAGGTCCCGATTCCCCGACTTTTGAGTTATATGACCTAGGACCTTAAAATTTGGTATCATCGGCCTCCTCTCGTCACGGGCAACACGCTCTTTTCCGCAAAGCGTTAGCTCGATCAAGGGCTGAACGGCAAAGGGGTCCAATGGACCCTGCTCCCCCTTTACGATAGACGCTGGCAAAACACCAAAATGGGCGAGGGTGAAAATACAGCTGCTGTCATAAAAATTCAGCTTGAATCAAAGTTCAGGCTTGCCAAATTTCAGCTTTCGCAGCTATCAACAAAAATAAAGATGTGGAGGCGGCCCCCGCCTCCCCCCTCTCCTCTCGGCCACTGCCAGCGAGGTTTTAAGCGTATCATACACGTTACAAGGCATCATATCAAGATGACACACCCCAGCAGTCATATGCTTTGAACAAAAACTTATTACCCACGCTAGTCCATCGGCACCATAGCACATGGTCGAGACTGTCGTCAGCCACGGACGCAACCCTCTGAGCCCGTTGACTGCGGGTGACCTTGACATGTCAAGCCTGATTGGCGGCCGGCCGCTGTCGTGCGGTCGTTACACACGGAGGGGAGGGAGACACAAAGCTCTACGTTATAGCTGACCTCTGACCTTTCCCCGTGCCCTGGTCACTGACCCCGCTCCATGTCGCTGGGCAGTGGCATGGCGGTGGAAACCGGTTCTAGCCTCTACACATGCCACCATCCTAACACTCCCTTCCCCACGCTACTACGCGGCGTGGAGTACGCTCGTGCGTAACTGGGCGGAACAAGGGGTCACGCGATACAGGGGCGGAACTGGTTGCCCTCCCGCTCGCCGAGCGACCAACGACTAATACCCTGGAGAGCCGTACCTACCTGATAGCACACGTTGTGGACGGTGAGCAGGTGGCACGCGGCCGTCTCGACCGTCACCACGGAATGGAGGTAAGCGCGTGTGTAGCGCGCACACGTGCTGCACGGACACTGCTCGTCGACGGGCCGGAAGTCGCGCTCGTAGGCCGCTTGCCGCAAGTTGATCTGACCGCCCTTGTACAGAGCACAGCCGAAACGCTGCAGGGCGAAACGAACAGCGTGCCGACATTTTTATGGAGCATTGGTAGCATGAGGGACAAACAAACTGAAACAGCCACTTTGTCATTCGCTATTGACGGATTTAAGTGTAGGCATTGTTCTGTTGATACATATACCTACCACAATATCGGTTTGTCTATCTGGACTGTGCACAGAAATTACGAACCTGCCATTAGATTAGGGTCCTAGCTTTCAAAAGTCATCGCAGCCAAATTATTTGCTAAATGACAATGTACTTTGGTAGACAACACCTGTAGTCAATTTGTTTTTTATCTTTCTTTGAACAAAAACTTAATTTAATAACACTAGCACAGGCATCGAAAAATAAAGGGCATATTTTACCTATTTCTCTGATAATTTAAAGGGATTATCAGGGTTTAAAAATTGAAAGGAATCGGCATAAATTTCCAATCAATGAACTCCCCAGACTCTGCCGATTCTAACGATATGCATAAAATGTAAATCGGTACCAAAATTTGCGAGATATAGCCGTTTCAAAATTGACAAAATTGTACTTACTCACGCAAAACAAGTACTTGGGCGGCCAAGTTGGCCCATCGCTAAAATGTAAACAAAGAGCAGCCTTGGGAAATTTCGCCAAGGCCGCCGCACCACACTGGCGATTTCCACAAGACGGGCCTTGTCCTGGGCCTTGTCTGCTTTGTTTTTGTCTGTTGTTTTTAGGGCCTTGCAACAAGATTTCAGTGCTTGGCATTGGATTTGGATATGAACAAATTGATGATTTGCTTTTCAATAAGACAGCAAGAGTTATCAACATTGCCAAAGTTATCATATGTGTGTTATTTGAATAGCTTGTTTGCTGATCATCAAAATCTTGATGTTAATATCATTTAAATGTCAACAATTTTCAAGGGTAAATTTGAGTGTTTTATTTCAATAAATTGAAATGTAAGTGCATCAGGCACAAGAGCTAAGTTTCAATCTGATTATTTTGTCAAGAGTGGTGAATCTAATGTAACGTCTTGCGAGAAAGCTTACCTAAGTGACTGAAGAAAGCGCTATAGTTTTTCAAGATCTATGTTGATCTGTTTTTTCGAACAACAGGTCGTACAACATGATGTTGTGACATGACCTCTGTGCCCTGTACGTCTCCCCTGCTGCTGCAGCATAGCCCCGGCTTCAACTATAGTTTGTTATGGGTGGGCTCTCCGTGAACGTCTTGGTGCGTTTCTACAGGGTGTCTCAAAAGTTCGTTCACACATTTCCCATGCCAATAAAGCATATAAGAACCGGCCAAAAGTATAAGGTTTTGGTGTCTGTGTGTACACTAGACAAATATGCATGCTTTGACAACTGATTAAGAAGGTTGGAAACCAACCCCTTTGCTGTATCTCCAAAAATATTTGCCCATACCGATTTTTGTTGCTCCGTCAGCTGCCGGAGGCTGATAAAAGGTTACCAGCTTTCAAGCTCTTGCAGGGGAATCCCCTGCAGTTTCTGCGTCGGATTTAGTTTTGACTATCTCCCCGGCAACATTTGATTTTCCCTGAAAGCCGACAGCTTGCATCGACACCATTCTTGAGTATTTTGTGGGCATTCTCTGGCGCTAACTCCTTCATGAATGACTGGCGCCGACATCCCAAGCGCCATTTTCCTTTTCAAAACGACCCCAGTCCTGAACAAACGGGAAGTACCAGGAGTAAATTTTTCGCATCATATGGTAGCAGAATGTGTCGGACGTCTGTTTCTCAGACACATTGTGCAAATTTTGCAAATCCCAAGCGCTCGTCATTCCCCATGCCAAGACCTTCGCTCGGTTGCGGAGTGTTTTCCTCGGGAGATGTTCTGCTTTGTAAATGGCCCAAACCTGTCCATCGTGTGGTTTTGTCGGGATTTTGTGTTTAAAAGAAAATTATTCGCTGCAGATCTGCCTCTTGAAACTTCGTTAGATAAAATTTTACAATAACTGACACTTTTGGAGGGTCAGGTGTCCTTGGCATTGACGATTTTTGTGTTATGTCCCCAAAAATTAGCGTTATAGATATTATAAACAATTTTAAATCATAATTGGTCTTTATTTTACGATGACCTGCACTTTTTGAAAATGGGTAACCTCTGTCTGTGACCTTCTTGCCAGTTTTCAATAGTTATGATCGCATTTTCAGCTGCTTTCCGGAACACGAGTCTGCTGTCGTGCGAGGGTCGTTCAAAACGCCGTTAGTCTCGCATGGTTTCGTCCTTCAAAAATTTTAGCCACCGTTTTTATGAGATGATCATCATGTTGCACTCATCCTCGCCGACACTTAGCCATGTGTCATTTCCGACTTAACCATTCCCATTACTCCTGAAACAGAGAGTTTCACACAACATACCCGACTTTGCAACCTACATTTTCGTGCCTGACCCATGGTCAGAGGTGAACCCTTTTTGTGAGCTCATGAAGGGTCGAATGCACTTGAAAACAATGAGACTGCTTGAGGAAGGTTGTCACCAATGCCCATGCAAAATTTCGACTGTGATTTCTTGTTGATTCAGAATTATTGACAAAAAAGCATGGCTGGTACCTGTGAACGAACTTTTGAGACACCCTGTACATATTGTTGCTGTGAAAGGACGGTACATGAAAAAATATGTAACTTGTATGTTTTTTATTGCCCTGGTACCTACTTAATGTATATTTTTGTTGTTTATGAGTGATAAATGAGTATATTTTGAGGAAAATTGAGGCATTTCAGTTTTAGTTTGTGGAACAAAACAGAAGAAGCTGCTGAGTGCAGATCATGATTCAATTGAGAGAATCATCCTCAGTTATCTACATATAAGCATGCTTTGTAAGCTCCTTGCATTTTGCCAGCTTCTACTTGCTAGTCAAAGTTGTAAGAAGGGTTAGGGAGAACAATTGGTACACATGCCACCATGTGCAATCACCAAACGAATGAACGTGAGGGCCAAGTCCTTCACACAGCATGGATACTTATAGGTACTGCACTAATGTATAATGTTCATTATGTTCATATTAGCAACTCACCCAGGCAGCCTGCCTTGTGGTATTTCTGAGTTTAAGATTTTGTAAGACTCACACTAATCAATAAGGTAAATTACATTGATATGTATGGATGAACAATGTGCAAAGGGGTCGCACGTGCCTGCTCAGTGCTCAGCCATGGATGCACGTGCCTTCTCAACAATGGGCGTGCTTGCAGACATCTCCATGGACGAACAATGTGCAAAGGGGGGGGGGGCGTGCCTCCGCGGCCGCCTGTTGGCTCAGCCGCTGCTGCTGCTTGGCGCCGCTGCTGAGCGCTGCCGGAGACGCCGCTCGCTGCCGGAGCTGCCGGAACAGTCACCGGAGCTGCCGGAGCTGCGGGAGCCGGGCCCGCCGCCCATCTGTCAGGACCGCCGACGGCAGCACGCCCGTCTGTCAGGGTCTGTCAGTGCCGGCAGTGGACGCGCGCGGGTGCGGGCCGGGTACAGACGCGCGCGGGTGCGCGCCAGGCACGGATGCGCGCCGGCTATGGACGCGCGCGCGCTTGCGTGCCGACGATGGGCGCGCGCGCGTGTATGCCGACCATGGCTGCCGCCCGCTGCCGGAGCTGCGGGAGCCGGACCCGCCGCCCGTCTACCGGGTCTGCCGGCCGCCGCGCGCCCGTCTGTCGGAGCCGCCGGCGGCAGCACGCCCGTCGGTCAGGGTCTGTAAGTGCCGGCTGTGGACGCGCGCGGGTGCGCGCCGGTGCGTGCCGGGTACGACCTCGCTTGGGTGCGCCCCGGCTGTGGACGCGCGTGGGTGCGCGCCGGGTACGGACGCGGCGTGCGCGCCGGGTACGGACGCGGCGCGCGCGCCGGCTATGGACGCGCGCGCGCTTGCGTGTCGACCAGGGACGCGCGCGCGTGCGTGCCGACGATGGACGCGCGCGCGTGCATGCCGGCCATGGCCGCGCGCGTGCGCCCCAGCCATGGACGCGCGCTAATGCGCGCCGGCGATGGGCACGCACGTGCCTGCTCGGCAATGGATGAGCGACGAGCGTGCCTTCTCGGAAATGAGTATACATGCAGACATCTTCATGGATGGACGCTTTCAATATGTTCAATGTGTTGAGACGGATCTGAGTAAATTGGAGAGTAGGATAGTTTTAGTCCTGCTCAACTGGTTCTGCCAATAAGTACCAACACCACCTTGCTGCCAACTGCTTACCAAATACGGCATCTGTTGTACCCTTGCATGATGCATATGTACATACAGAAAAAAATTACAGTCTGTTGAAATCTGAAAACATGCACTGCTGAGCACTGTGGATGAATCTGTATGAACCGTGTGGCCCAGCGAAACCTTCTGGCCCAGGTTATAATTGACAGTGAATTAGGAATCAATCCTTGCAAAGAGAAAATAGATGATTGTGCTTTAGATGAGCATAATGAAGAAGCGTTCCTGAAGTTGAGTTAGTGGCTTTCCATCATCCATGCCAGATGGCCAAAACACACCATTTCAATCTACTATACTATTTGTGAAATGAAACTCTGTCTGTCTGTCTGTCTGTTTGCACCGTGCAGAGGGGTGCTTTGACGCCGTGCACAGGTCAAACGGTGCGTTGGATGGGGCTGAAATTTTCGCAGGGTGTTGATGACGTCACGCGCACGTGCAGTGTCGAGGCTCGAGTCCCGGGGGGTGGATGGTTCGCACGTGGCACGCGCTGGAAAAAGGTGCTTTTTCTCCAAATTTTGCTCGGCTCTCAAGCTTGCTTCAAGGCATCGGCAGCCGGGTTCAATCGCCTTTGACAATAAAATGCATGACGATCGGCGGCGGGTGCCTCTCATTTGCAGATTGGCCAAGTTATTTATTTTGGTAAACAGAGGCGAATGAAGGTGTTGATTTCGGTGAATAAAGACAGTTTTCAATGCGCTTACACAAATGCACCGCGTTTGCCGTAGTGCGCCACATTTGTCACGATGTGCCATTTTTGCCGCAAATCGCACAACTTTGTCAAATATGGTCCGATAAACGTGCAATTCGGTGGATGGAT